TTAAAGTAAATAAAAATTTGCATATTAATAAAATTTCAACAACAAATGTATGTATTATACATTATTAAGTAAATTGTTATTTAGTTATTTGGAGTGCAAGTTGTTTTTTAATGTATATCAATAACATCAACAATCTAAATACCTTACATCAAATAAGCGTTTTGTTTTTTAACATCAATAATTTTGAAAATGTTGTTGTATGTAACTGTAATAATGTCATTATACAATAATGTAATTTCTTTGCAGTACTTTTACAAGGACAATGGTACAAATTTGCTACATTTTAATATAAGTATTTTTATCATTGCCAAAATAGTTTGTATAGTAATTTAGACATACCAAATCTATAAAAATATAGTCCCAATAGTTTAGAACAAGTATTAATGTATACAAATATCAACATATGTTCTACATTTTTTTAAATACATATGTCATTCTGGTTGCAACTATATCAGTCATTATAGTCTTAGTTTTAGTTATATGTATTTACATAAAGGATTGATAACTTTGTTTTTACAGCATCACAGGTAACATTTTCATCACTGGCATCATTACAGTCATTATTATCATCACAATTTTATCATAACACAATGACTTCTATTCCTACAAAACCAGTTCACTTAAGCCTATTTTTAGTCTTTCAAACATACATCTTTGCTGGCAACCCTAGTGGGGGTGAGTTACCCTTAGTGGGGGATTGAACATTCAGGAGGGGGAATCCAGCCGTCAGGGCAACGCATGCCTTCTGACGTTTCAGTAGGCCGCGCGAGCTTGTGCCGTAAATATGTTATTATGAGGTGGTTGTTTTTTCTTTCTCTTTTTATGTCATCCGGTCTGTTTTTCACTTGCAATATTCTTGTGCGTGATTCCATTCGTGATTGTGCGATGTACCGTTACAAATGAATAAATGTCAATGTAAATGTGTCTCGAAAGGTATGTATGTATCTCCATGTAAAATTGGAAATATGCATACGTGTAATGTATGTATATTGTGCACATTAGCCAACATTTTACCGCCTTATCTGTACATCCTTGATTAACTATATGATACTGTGATTTAAAATCCGTGAACTTTTGGTGAAAAGGTTAGAAGCCGTATTTGACAAGAGGGAAATGTGATAGACTTCTATTCGCTTTAATTGACATTAGAATATGCATCTGCTTGTTCATTTAATACAATATCCTAATAAATGATTTATTTAATAAATTATAAATATTATATACAAATT